TTTTAGTTTCCTGTGTCCTACATGATTTTTGATATATAACTGCTGAGGTTTGAAGCTTCTTGACCTTGGAAGCAGAAAATGACAAAACTGTTTCAAATCAGCAGCTGATCTGTAAAAATACAGTCTAGTAAAACATCACCTTTAACTATGACAATTTCACCAAAAACTGGAACATTGCAAGTTTAACCAAGAATAATGTTATGACAGGGCTGTTGTACTGGATTCATTCAGTTGAACAGTTGTCTCTCAGCCCACTTCACATCAATACACAATCTAATGTGTGTGTTTGTGTGTGTGGTGTCTCAAGGTGTTATATTCACCAATTGACATAATTTCTGTGCCCCTTTGATTGCGTGTGTGTAAAGGTGGAACAGTTGTGGTTCTTGTCCATATACTGTAGCTGACCAAGGTTTGTAAATCAAAAATATCTGGAGTCTTGATATTTATTCAACCTTGCCTCCACCGATTAGACTTAATTCTGTTTTAAATGTCTGCATGGTAAGGCTCACTCCTGTATTTAACAGTGAAGCCAGCTAAATCTCTAAAAGAAACACAGTATGTAGTTTCTGTGGGAACAGCTGCATCACCCTTCTTGTCTGTAGTCATGAGTTCCTCCCTCCCGTGCCGCCTGCCGAGTCCCAATAAAGCATTCAGTGTGATTAAAACCGTTACAACTGAAATCAATTTTTCATTTGCAGCCACTTGTCTATGCTTGACTTCATTTCACTACTTTTCAGCTCATGATGTTGTGTGAATCTCCTGATTGCAGATCAGTGCTTGCAGCCCTCCTCACACTGTAAATAAAGGATGGGTATATTACACACTGTAAGCACTTCTTGACTTTTATGGATGATGCTGAAATGCTGCTGTGACATTATTGCTGAGGCAGGACCTTCCTGCCTTGTTGTAACATTTGTTGGGCTTGTGTACTTTCTGGTGTTCTGTCGGGCTGTGTGTGCATTTGTGAGTGTAATGTGCTGTTTTTGTGCATTAGTTATTGTTTATGGGTCCTTCCTGCATTTTTTTTTTTTTTTATCTAGAACCCAGCCAACCCAGGACTGTTTTCCATGTGGATTGCACAGGTAAAAGTCAAACCTCTGTAGGGACTGTTAAACCCCAAACAGTAACAGAAATTAATGTCATCTCTGGTTGTGTTGCTTCAGGGGTGGAGTACCAGGATATTGAGGTCCATCTGCGCAGACAGAAGTCTGGGTTCGGTTTCCGTGTGCTGGGCGGGGACGAGGCCGGGCAGCCTGTGAGTCCGGAGACCCGTGAGAAGGCTCGTATGGCAGTGGGCGTGGAACCCTGTCGTTTTCTTCTCTCTAACCCACTACACACTGTGTACCACTAACCCTTGACCTTTGAACCCTGAGAGAGTGACAGCTGCTTTGGTGTTTTTGCAGTTTGTTAAAGTAACAAAATAATAATTTAACACTATAACAACCATTTAACACCCACTGCATGTGACACACCTATGCCACCTAGACCAGCATCTAAACCCACCGCATCCTTACTTCCTGTTTATAATGATTTATGATTAATAACAGATCCTGATCGGGGCAATCATCGAGAAGAGCCCAGCAGACCTAGACGGACGCTTACGGCCTGGTGACGAGCTGCTGTACGTGGATGGGATCCCAGTGGTGGGGAAGCCGCACAGATATGTCATCGACCTTATGCACGGCGCAGCACGTAACGGCCAGGTCAACCTGGTCATCAGGAGGAGAGTACAGGCAGCAGGTGAGACAACGTGAAGGGAATGGTTCATCTGCACAGAGCAGCTTTAAGACAATGGATTATAAAGTGAATTGATTTCACTCAGTGCCTTTATTATCTTCTCTTATTTCTCTCTTAACCTCATTCCTTTTCTCCTCTCTGCTACTATTCTTGTCCTGGAATGATTAATAAACAGGATTTAATCAGTCGTAAAACAGAAGCACTAATCTCAGTAATTACACTGAATCCTCCCTAAAAAACACATTAGCACATTCTTGCTCATACAAACACACCGTAGCTCCATGGACCTTCTTCGCTTTTAAGACTGAGATGGCGCCTCTTCCTGTGAACTCCGGCCTCCTCTTTTCTCATTATTACAGCCTCCCCCCGTACACGCACACACACACACACACACACACATGCTCTTCTTACCAGTCCACTTCTTCTCCCTCTACACTGCCCTGTCTGTCAATTTCCTCCCAGCAAAGGCTACTGTCTGACTCATGCCTGGCCTCTCCTGCACCCCTACTTCCATCCTAATTGTCTGACTCCCACTGGCACTTTGCAAGGTGTCAGACTCTTCTGCTCTAAGCTCATAATTCTGCCTGCACCCAATGCCCCACTTTTCACTTAATCTATTCTCTTTTTTTACTCGTTTTTCTCACAATAAAATAACTATTTGTGCACTTACTGGTGTAAAGAAATACTACACGTGTGTATGTGCCTTTTTACTGTTACAAATCTGATTTTAACTCTATATTAGTAAACTGAAATTACCTCCTAAGCTACACACCATTACTTCACAGTGAGCTATCAAAACAGCACCATCAGAGTGGATCACTCACTGTGCCAGAATGCATACACACACACACACACACACACACACACACACACAAAGAAGCCAGAGATGCAAGAAGCTGCCTTCACTCTGGCTGGATTGACACAGTGCTGGATTTTAATGATGTGTTTTACCAGGTTGTCTGTTCTGCTGCTTTTTCAGTTTTGCATTGCTGACTGGATACAATTCAGCTCCAGCTTGTGTCATTTTAAGTGGTAGGAGAAAATGTACTCTTATCTGTACAAATAAATGTTTTCACACGTGAAATTAGCTTTCTCTTGAGCATTTATGTATTACATGGGTTGTTTGTAGCATAAAAACCCCACAATCAGGAACCTTAAATTGCCTTAGTTTATAAATGAGAAGATATTGTGGCTGACTGCCTGCATTTGATCTCTTAAAAATACTCATTTTGTTTGTCCATCAATGAGATCGGTGTGGAAAATATCTATATGTACATTTACTCAAGTATAGTGCAAATCAGAGGTATTTGCACTTTACGTGATTACATTTCAGATACAGTCAGGTCCATAAATATTGGGACATCGACATAATTCTAACATTTTTGGCTCTATACACCACCACAATGGATTTGAAATGAAACGAACAAGATGTGCTTTAACTGCAGACTGTCAGCTTTAATTTGAGGGTATTTACATCCAAATCAGGTGAACGGTGTAGGAATTACAACAGTTAAGGGACCAAAAGTAATGGGACAGTTGGCTTCTCAGCTGTTCCATGGCCAGGTGTGTGTTATTCCCTCATGCCCATTACAATGAGCAGATAAAAGGTCCAGAGTTCATTTCAAGTGTGCTATTTGCATTTGGAATCTGTTGCTGTCAACTCTCAAGATGAGATCCAAAGAGCTGTCACTATCAGTGAAGCAAGCCATCATTAGTCTGAAAAAACAAAACAAACCCATCAGAGAGATAGCAAAAACATTAGACGTGGCCAAAACAACTGTTTGGAACATTCTTAAAAAGAAGGAACGCACCGGTGAGCTCAGCAACACCAAAAGACCCAGAAGACCACGGAAAACAACTGTGGTGGATGACCGAAGAATTCTTTCCCTGGTGAAGAAAACACCCTTCACAACAGTTGGCCAGATCAAGAACACTCTCCAGGAGGTAGGTGTATGTGTGTCAAAGTCAACAATCAAGAGAAGACTTCACCAGAGTGAATACAGAGGGTTCACCGCAAGATGTAAACCATTGGTGAGCCCCAAAAACAGGAAGGCCAGATTAGAGTTTGCCAAACGACATCTAAAAAAGCCTTCACAGTTCTGGAACAACATCCTATGGACAGATGAGATCAAGATCAACTTGTACCAGAGTGATGGGAAGAGAAGAGTATGGAGAAGGAAAGGAACTGCTCATGATCCTAAGCATACCACATCATCAGTGAAGCATGGTGGTGGTAGTGTCATGGCGTGGGCATGTATGGCTGCCCATGGAACTGGGTCTCTTGTATTTATTGATGATGTGACTGCTGACAAAAGCAGCAGGATGAATTCTGAAGTGTTTCGGGCAATATTATCTGCTCATATTCAGCCAAATGCTTCAGAACTCATTGGCAGGGGCTTCACAGTGCAGATGGACAATGACCCAAAGCATACTGCAAAAGCAACCAAAGAGTTTTTTAAGGGAAAGAAGTGGAATGTTATGCAATGGCCAAGTCAATCATCTGACCTGAATCCGATTGAGCATGCATTTCACTTGCTGAAGACAAAACTGAAGGGAAAATGCCCCAAGAACAAGCAGGAACTGAAGACAGTTGCAGTAGAGGCCTGGCAGAGCATCACCAGGGATGAAACCCAGCGTCTGGTGATGTCTATGCGTTCCAGACTTCAGGCTGTAATTGACTGCAAAGGATTTGCAACCAAGTATTAAAAAGTGAAAGTTTGATTTATGATTATTATTCTGTCCCATTACTTTTGGTCCCTTAACAAGTGGGAGGCACATATGCAAACTGTTGTAATTCCTACACCGTTCACCTGATTTGGATGTAAATACCCTCAAATTAAAGCTGACAGTCTGCAGTTAAAGCACATCTTGTTCGTTTCATTTCAAATCCATTGTGGTGGTGTATAGAGCCAAAAATGTTAGAATTGTGTCAATGTCCCAATATTTATGGCCCTGACTGTATTGTACTCTTTATTTACTACATTAATTTGAGAGCTGGTGTCCCTTGTCATGTTTCACGTGGCTTTATTATTGTTTCCATTTCCCCTCTGGCTTTCTCAGATGGTTTATTTTAAACAACTGCATCCATAAGTAAGTAAATAAATAAATAAAAGTAGTACTGCTACAAATGGAAATTGCAGTATACAATCATGGAAGAGAACCTTTTCACCTGTATGTTCACGCCTGGAAATTGTAAAATGCATTTTTTGTAAAAAAAAAAAAAAAAAAAATGTAAATAAATAAAAAACAACTGCTTCAGGGTCAAGACTTAAAATGATCCAATATTTGACAAAAAATTCAAATCTATGAACACATTTTTAAAACATGTACACAAATTTGTGTATGAATACATTAGTTTTTTCTTATTTTCTGATCATCTAATGACCCCTCGGATTTATCTTGTGGCCCTTTGGAGGGGACTGACCCATAGTTTGGGAATCGCTGGACTAAACTGCCACATTTTCTATAATCAAACTAGCTCAAACCCACCTTGACCAGATACAGCAGTAAAATGCTACTTACACATTGATGCATCAATACTTTCTTTCCCCCCAGTAATTTTAATACGCTCACTTAAGGATCTGAATACTCACTTGCAGTCTCTAGATGCAAAGCTCAGCTCTGTCTCTACTTACAGCTGAGTCCTGTGCGGAGAACGGTCGCAGCCCGGGCTCTCTCTCCACACAGCACAGCTCCCCACGCAGTGACTTCACATATGGCAACAGCACCAGCACTACCCAGGCTCCCAACACCAGCGTGGGCAACTTGGCCACTTCAGACGGGACCTCGACCCCCAACACACAACCGAGCGATGTCATCATCAATCGAAAGGAGAGTGAAGGCTTTGGCTTCGTTATCATCAGCTCGCTCAACCGGCCCGAGGTCGCTGCCACCAACAGTGAGTGCAGTGATCGTTTTGGTCATGTCTCTTGGAGTCAGATAGAAGCTTATGCATCATCAGTCATCCTCTAATCTGCATAACATCGACTTCAAGTGCTAAGACTCTTAGACACATATAATCTGCCCGGTAATCTTTATGTAATATTAAGATGAGAGGCATAGGAAGAGGTCATGGCTCAATAAATGTGAAGCATCTCTCATTTTATCTCCTCAATTACATGCCCTCCCACAGTATGTCAGTCGCACACATCTTTGATATGCAGTTGTGAGCATCTGTGCATCGCCCACACACATAAAAAAATCTGGATGCCTTACATAAGCCTGGGGTGAATAGCAAAATGAGAGAGACAGAGACATATTCAGTCAGTGAGCGGTGTGTGTGAGCAGAGACAGGCCTAAGCCTCCAATGTGCTGCTGAGTGTGTCTTTACCTGCAGCGTGTTGCGTTTGACACCTCCAACAGTTGTGCCCCATAAAATTGGCCGCATCATTGAGGGCAGCCCGGCCGACCGCTGTGGGAAGCTGAAGGTGGGAGACAGGATACTGGCAGTGAACAGTCAGTCCATCGTCAACATGCCACATGCCGACATCGTTAAGCTGATCAAGGATGCAGGCCTCAGCGTTACCCTGAGGATCATACCACAGGAAGGTGAGAGGGCACGTGGACACACAACACATGGGCGACACAGACGAGGGTTTGGAGCTGCAGTAGTTTGGTGGACACAGATTTACATCTGTGACAGTTATTGAGCTCACTCTGTTAAATGAAAGCTGTAATATGAGTTTTGCCAAATGTGATTCTCTTTAGATTAACTGTTGCTCGTCATATTCACGAGTTGTTTTTTTTCTGGTCTGTAAATTCTCATCATTAAATTGCCACATTGTTTCCATAACTCTTCTGTATGGTACTGCTTGAAAAGATCTTCTAATCTCATAGTGTAGCTACAGAGATGTAGAATGATTTTAATAATGAGTCCAGTTTCCTGTACAATTAATTATTCTTGTATTCTGCAAAGACAGCAACAGATGTATTTAATAAGCTTACTGCATTGTCTCTAAGTGGCCTAACAAGTCAATTAATGCTGGTTTAAGCTTTAATTCAATTTGGTTTTACTTGTATAGCACCAATCTACAACAAAAATCATCTCAATGCACTTTACATAGAGAAAAACCCCAACAAATCCCCCTTGAGCAAGATCTTGGCAACAGTGGGGAGGAAAAACCTCTGAGAGACCCAGGCTCTAGATGGGTGGCCATCTGCCTTGACTGGTTGGGGTGAGTGGATAGAGGAAAGAAAAAAGAAAAGTGTCTGCACACAACAAATCAGGAGATAAACACTGGGCAGGTTAATGTAGTTGGTTATTACTCATCAGACATATACAGCTCCAGGGCCAGTGATACCTGCAGAAAGGTACAGGGAGAGAGAGAGAGGACAAACATGTTTATTTGGTTAAATGAAGGTTAAAATTACTTGTTGTGGGTTTTTAATGCTCTTCCTTCTTTCCTGAACTGCAGAGATCAGCAATCCCCCATCCGCCCCCAGCTCGGAGAAGCAGAGCCCCATGGCCCAGCAGCACAGCCCCAAGACCCAGCCCGGCATCGCAGCCTCCCAGCCTAACCCAGCAGCAACAGAACCCAGCCTGTCTGCTGGTCAAGCCAACCCCATGCCCCACCAGAGTCCTGTGACCCAGCTGCCTGCACCTCCACCTCAGACCTACACTTACGAGAGCAGGTAAGACAGTCGACAAGGTGCCAGTTTACAGAGCATGACAAGTAGAAGCATCAGGATTTTTGATGCAGTAAAATGCTGTTATACATTAGCCATCTATCTGTGTCAGGAGCAAAACACTGTTCCTCATACACTTTGTCTGTCCCCATTCTATCTGCCTGTCTTTCATTCACTTCCTACAGTTTCTTCCTCTTTGTTTCACCTTTTTTCTCTTGCTAACATTGTTTTTTTTCTCACTGGCTTCTCACTCTCCTCATCCCTCAGCCTATCTCTCTCCACTTTGTTGTATAACGCTTATGGACTGCTGAATTATTTACATAACTTGCTTTATAGATTTCTGTTGAATATTTTACCAAGAACTACAGGGGTGCAAGGTCTACAGTGTCTTTACATGGTTTCCAGATCCCTTTGCACTGAGCCCCAGCAGCCTCTGAGGGAACCTGTTTTTGGTATAAACATTTAATGTGATGTGTGAGGAAAAACTGTTTCATTTCCTCACTTAAGTCTTGTTTAATGGTTATCAGTGCAAAGCAAAACAAGCCATTGCTGTCAGCACCGGGTGACCCAGCATGCTAAGTGAACCAAAGCGAACCACAGGCAACGCAGCATGTCAACAGGTAATCATGGCAAGACTAGAAAGAAGTCATGGAAGTCCTTCCTTCATTGTGATTGGTCTGTTAGTTACAGGTCAGAGGTGAAAGCAAGGCAAGATGTGAAACCAGACATCCGCCAGCCGTCGTTCACAGACTACCGACAGCCGCCGGTAGACTACCGGCATCCCCCTGTGGCAGACTACCGGCAGCCGCCCACATTGGACTACAGACACCCACCGCTGCTCGACTACAGACAGCTAGCCCCTGATGCCAGGCAGTTCGCCATCCCAGAATACAGAATGCCACCAGTCCAAGTAAGGAAGAAAATTGTTATTAATTCCTCACAGTTCCGTTTTTTTTTTTATCCTGACTCACTCTGGATCTATGAGGCCAACACCAGTATGGACAGAATAAGAAGATATGGATCCCTTAGAGCTAGACCCTCAGTATTTTTGTGGTCATGAGTGACCACTGCTTGACATTTTATGGTGTTTTATTGTATCATCACTTCCAAATTGTTGGTGTTTTGATGCAGATTTATATAAATATTTTACTGCAGAGTTGTATATCTTTTAGTGCCTTAAAATATGCTGTATGTCTGTTTTTGTATAAATTAAATCTATATGTTTCTACTCAAAGCTGACACTGTCTGCCTAAACAGATTCTAGCAAAGTCATGAATGGAAATGTAAAACTGCACTTTAAGACAAAGCTTGGCTTGCCAGCATTAGAAATTTTGCACCTTTTTTCCCTTTGGTGTCATTTGTGTTAGTAAAACAGAGCCAAAAGTATAGCTGACACAGACACACACTCCTAGATACTTTAAAGTAAATACATACCCCTTTAACAGCTCCCCTGTTTATCTTTGATACCTCTCATACACCTCTTCATTGCATTATGTTTACCTTGCAGTTGTTCCATTCTTTGCTGAGTCCTGAGAGTTTTCTGCTGTAAAGGTCAGTTTTCTCCTCAGATACCAGTGAATCTAAACATATCTGATCTTTACTTGCCTCAGCTTTCACAGGACTTTGACTTCTTCACGGTGGAGCTGGAGAAAAGTGTGAAGGGCTTCGGTTTTAGCATCCGCGGGGGGCGGGAGTACAAGATGGACCTGTTTGTTCTACGACTGGCAGAGGACGGACCCGCTATCCGCAATGGGAGGATGAGGGTAGGTTTGATGACAACCACCCTTGCACAAGTTGAGCTACATTATCTTTTTCTGCATTACATAGCAGACACTCAGTGCATTTTTCTGATGTTGTCAGTGCTGCAACAGCAACTTTTCAGGGCCAATTTAAATTGAATGTCATGTTTGCTTAGCCGCACGGCTCTCTCTCTAACTATAGTTGCTGCTGTTCTGTTTGGTCGGAGAAAGCATGTTTTCTGAATTTATAAGGATGTGTTTAGAAATTGTATGGAAGTCAAAATGAGGTACATGACTCTATTTTTCTAACTCTGCCGCTGCTGTGTGCAGTAGACTCGTCTTGTTTGCTTCATTTGTTTTGCTGCTAGCAACATAAATTGCAACTTCTACAATAGCTTTTCCCTATTTGTCAGTGCCAATTTAACCCTGCAACCAACACATCCATCTTATTCTCCTGCTTTCTCTTCCTCGTTTTCTCTCACTTCTTTGTTTCCCGATCTTTACATCTGGCACTGATGACTTTGGTCTGCTCTACATTTCTTATCTGTAATAAACCTGTCAAAGATAATGTGTTTAAAATGCCCCCGGGGGAGTGTTATTCTCCCTTCTCGGTTGATGGGGTCCAATGGGCCCAGATGCAGTAGAAAGAAGAGGCGGGAATCTCACTTGAGCTCCACTTAAAGTCAGCATACAGGCTGCGATGAGGTCTGAGTATCATATTTAAAATAATTATGATGCATAAATAACATTTTACTGTTCTAGCTGGTTGAGGTGCGATTAGTTTTATCTACTTTATACACAGTTGGTCTGGTGGTTCCCAACCCAGGTGTTAGGCCCCTCCAGTGGGTCAGCAGATGGATTTGGGGCGGTGGGAGATAATTAATGGGGATAGGAAAAGGAAATGACAAAATTTTGCTGCACAATTTTGTTTGTTTGTTTGTTTTTAGTTTGTTTTACTTTTCCCAGATCTGTTTTTTTAGAGAAATATTAAATAAATTGACCTCAAACATTAATTGTATTTAGTCTTTTATTTAAATTTATCTACCTGATATGTTTAAAGGGGAAATCCCTCTTTGGTGGAACTGCTAACAGCTCGTCTGAAACATGACCAGACACTACTTTTTTTTGTAAGGGTTTACAAGCCAGCAAGATGAGAAATCACCGGTTTAATCTTAATGTATTTTATTTTACAAAATGTATACATTTTGATGTAATATGTTGATCTGAAAAGTAACCAGTAACTGTAGGTCTCAGATAAGTGTAGTGGAGGGAAAACGACAACATTTCTCTGTGGAATGTCCTGAAATAGATGTACTGTGTGAAGGGCAGTAGCAAAATGCAATACCTAAGTAAAGCACCAGCAGCTGTACATAGTTACTCTCCAGCACTGAGTCAGGTTTCATACTGTAAATGGACGGCCAGGCAGGAACACTGTTAGTAGGATCCTACGCTGTGCTCTTGAATGGATTTCAGAAACCAGAGTTTGATTCTTCTTCCAGCAGTTGTCCATGCTGCCGGGTGCACAGAGGAATCCATCTGTATTTAAGTAAATACCAGTCATTGGTTGAAAGGCATTCGACATGCCTGTCACTTTGGATTTGAGCGGTGCTTTGACACATCCTGAGGTGCAGAACCTAAAAAAACCCACACGGTGACTCCCGGCAGTCGGTCTGACATTTTGAGTTTAAGCCAAACAGGCACTTTGTCACATCTTTAAAAGAGAAAAATAAAATTCTACTTTGACCCTATATCAAACAAATTGGGAACAAGGGTTCTAGCAAATTCTAACAAGCTTTTTTAAGTTCAAGTGGCAATGCAGAGGCTTAAAAGAACATTGTGTGAAGTGACTGGTTATTACATAGAATCATTCAGCACATCTAATTACCCCTGTAAGCTTTAAACCTTCAATAAAAGATGGAGTTATGCGTGGGCACTGGGTGCAATAGAAGCAACCCAGGCTTAATTTCCACTTGCACGCTCCCTGTGCTCAGCATTCATGTTCCGTCCGCTCAACTGTAGTTTCCTCTTTATTAAAGATGAAAATGCTCTGCTGTGAGGAGGTGAGGATTAATGGGCGAACCGTCTTGCCTTCCACCTCTCGTCAGACCACTGTAATGACACCTAATGACTCTCCCTCTCTTGACTCGAGTCCGCTCCTGACTTTCAAATTACCCCAGCCATTACCGGAGGACCTCTCCATTTGTTTGGGTAATTAGCTGGCACGTTTCATCCTGTTCCCCATGAATCCTCCCCATTAGTCAACCTCAGAGCCTTGTCTTGAGAAATGAGAGTCTTGACCCATCCTCATCTAGGGAGTGGTCACTGAAAGGAAATTCAGTCCATTTAATATTTACTTTAGCTGATCTGCTGCAGTTAAAGGATAAGGTCAGTCTTTTTCTACATTAATAGCATTTCCAACACTCCCCATACAGAGACTAAAACCATCAATGAACCGCCTCTACTTACAGTTAATGTCTGTCAGTCTCCTTCCTGAATCGGCTTATTCATCTGTGCCATAGACCTCCCTTGTTGTTCAAAAACAATTAAAAGCTCCTAATAACCAAAAGCTTTTGGGGCAACATTTTTTTAACAAATATGTGGGTCTGGTGTTTCATAATTACAAAACAAGTCACCCAGTACATTGGTGTGTTTCACTGATGTGTTTTTAATCATTTTTGAACAACAACAGTAGAAGTTTATGGCACAGATGAAAAAGTTAACCCAGGTGGGAGAATAACAGACATCAACTGTGAGTAGAGGAAGTTCATTGTTGGCTTTAGTATCTGAGTGGGGATTGTTGAAAACACTACCAATATAGAAAATTACCAACCTTATCCTTTAAGGTTGTTCTATATGTGCAGGACATTGGTATTGATCAGTGTGTACTAATATGTTCTTCAGCAGCCCCATGAGAAGGAGTCCACTATACGTAATTCCGTCCAAACAACATGTTTAAATTACTGCCAATATTAATTGTAACTGACACCAGTTCATGACTGGTAGTGCTTACTAATGTGTACCGAGGCTCATGGGAAAGCCAATGAATAATAGATTCATATTGATCACTATTGTGCGTATCAAAGGAAGCTTGTTAACATTCTGTTCCACATGTGGTGTGCTCATTTCCAAACCTGCCAAAGCAGAGTTGACTCCAAACGTATGCAAACATCTTCATTTTTGCCTTTATGAACTTAACCGAGAGGTTCATGCAACAAGATGACACCTAATTTAAATGTAATATTGTTAATTTAGTGTCTCTATCGTTCACTCTTTGTCTGCATTTCACACTGCTCACCATACTGTGTGTGCTCATTGCACACACAAGCATTTCAATCTACAGTTAAAGGTTATGCTCAAGCTTCATTATTCAAATAAAAAATTGTATTTAATAAATTCATCTGTTTTGTTGGCTTCTTAAGACAAAGAGTAAACATGTCAGCGTGCTTTGCAGGACCACACATTTTCTCTGTGATGCATGCTCACAAATTATTATGTTCTCTGTCTTGACGCCCAGGTTGGGGACCAAATCATTGAGATCAATGGAGAGAGCACCCGGGACATGACGCACACCAGGGCCATTGAGCTGATCAAGTCTGGAGGCAGGCGTGTTCGTCTTCTCCTGAAGAGGGGTACAGGGCAGGTCCCAGAGTACGGTAGGTATCTATGCCTTTACACTCCACAGCACCTTTCTTTGTCTCCAGGATCGTATCTTACTTCTCGTTTAACTCACAGTCTTAATATGACTTTGTCTTAATACCATCTTTCTGGCATACATCTGCTGTATATTCATGTTATATCCTCTGAATTCACTGTATTCTATCATGTATTTCACTACACTGTAAAAAAAAAACTGATTTGTCTCTTCTATCTTGACTAACACTATTTTATCTTCTGTCCATTTCAGTGATTTTTCACTAATTGATTGGTCTAGGTTGTTACTTCCCCTTCTATAGGAATGGTATCTTCCAGTCTCTCCATGTGCATGAAAAGTGACAAGCATGGCTCCCCTTATTTCTTCCTAATGGGCCACTCTAAAGACACGGTTTGTGACTAAACAAATGCTTTTCTCCTCACTTCACCCTGGCCTTCTGTGCTGTGGTTTTATGTGTTTTGTTGTAGCCACCTGTTTGAGATGCACTTGGCTTAACATAGCTCAGTATGGTTTATAGCCTCGAACTCCCCCAAACAGTTGAAGATTTTGCCTTTGAGCTTGTGGAATAACCAACAAAAGTCAATCCAAGCTGCAGGAGGTTGTAAGATTAGTGAGCACAACTCTCCTCCTGACCAAACGATAAATCAGCACCCATCAGCTACCTACAGGCCCAAAAATATAGCAAAAATGAGCGTTTAGTCTGAGTCAGCCAGAGGTGATGAATGTGAAATATTGCAGCAGATTATTTACCCAGTGAAATCTCAGCACAGCACAAATTGAGCCCGGAAGGGGACATTTATTTGTGTGACACCATGGGTAATAAAACTCTAATGCGTCACTCAGGGCTGTGGCTTCTGCATCAGCGCAACGCTCACATTTCCACATCCTCCCACCTGAGAAAACCATTCTAGGGGAATTCTGCAGCAATAATGCCCTCAGTGACTCACATTCATCTGCATTTGGCCTTGGTGGTCACTCTCCAGCCCTTAAACACAAGAAACAAAGAATGATGTCGCTTCCCCATGTTGGCCCTTTTCTGCCAGCCCCACTTCCAACCAGGGATTTAATTTCTCTCTGGAGTTTGTAATACTTGCCTTGAGGTGTTTGTACAGCCATGAGGAGAAGGAGTGGTCATCAAGGAGACACAGTGCCCCATCATTAGAGGTTTTCTTTTGCGTTCCTTCTGAGTTCCCCTGCTGCCTAACGTAAAAAGCAGCATTTTAACCCACATGTTCTCTTGTGCGTGGGCTTGATTCAGCAATTCATCACTTGTAGTTTACAGGCGCTCTGTTTGCATTCTGGGAAGTTATGCAAATCATCTACAGTGATTAATTTGGTTATTTAAAACATTAGCATACTAGTGTTCAACAGAGAAAGTTATTTTTATTTCAGATTCTGGTCTGGGCTTTTTAGGAACAGCTCAAAGCAAAATGAAGAACAGACAAACAAGAATTTAAGCACTGTTTTGTTAGCAGAGAAACAGGGTTGTGAGCATGTGCATGAATATTATTGTACGCTTGTCTGTGTGTGGCACTGTGTGAGTTATTGTGCTTCTGTGTAGCATTAGATCTGCAAGTCCTGAGAATTACACTCTATATCAAAGTGACACTACAGCAAAAGTCAGAATGACATAATAATAATATATATATTATTATAATATATATAATATCTCACATGCAGTCTCAGTGAAAAGAAGCCAGCCTGCTTCTGCCCCATTTTTCTTTTAAAAATAAAATTCCTTATATGTTCTTAATGATGTGTTATTCTTTAAATGGGCTTTATTATTTTTATGGTTTTAAGTCAGTTCAACAAAGCTTTCATTTCTCCAGCAGCAATGTGAAAGAGTTGTCTTTCAGTTCAGTTTGAATCTCTATAAAATGGGGTGGGCTTGCAAGAGAGAGATTCAGTAAATAATGGTCTAAAATGATGCAGCAAGATATATGACCTTTAGTTCAGATTTGTTTCCCCTTTTAGTCCACTAGACACCAAGAGCACTAGAGACTCTATTTTCCTGCCAGCACAATTTCTGAGTCATCTCATTTGCAGTCGTTATGCAGTTTTCCTTGGGCGCATGTCTACTTTTTAGTGCATTGGTGTATTTTCTTGCTATGAATGAATGTGCCTACGCTGAAGTGGGAGGAGAGGTGCAGGTGAGACCATGTGTATGCTAATTAGGAAGGACAGTGAAAATTTGGTGCTCGTTTTGACCAGAAGCAGTGATAACGATAACACCTTCTCAGACTGCCTCTTATCGCAGTTGCAGGTGTATTTGCAATTTTCCTGCCAAGCGCCTTGACTGGGAAGCACAAGATCAGGTACACACATGTATTTTAATGGCCAGAGTTGGGACGTGTCAGGACGCACCATTTGTAGGCTACTTACAGGATGTAGCCAGAGGTGATTTGCAGCCAGTGTTTGGGAATCCAAAATTCACATTAAAAAGACTACATACTGTATAATAACACGTGAAAGCAGCTCATGAGCCAAGATAAATAATAGACATCTTGCAGATGTCTATCAATCCTGCAGCAGCTAAAGTCAGTCTGACCTCACTGTGCACTGTTGTCACCGTTAAGTTAACCGTTTCCTCAAACATACAAGTTTCACATAGACATACCTTCAGTACTATGGCGAGGAAATACGCTGTGTCTGTTTTTGCATTTTATGGTAGTTTGACATCAGTGACATCATCTGCCCTGCTCTTTAAAGGGGTTGAGAGGAGCTGGTTTGATTGGACATACCTAAAGCCAGCTCCGACTAGCATCAAACAGCAGACACTAGCGAGTGAACATAGTGCAGCATTTAGCAGCTAAAGAGCCAGGTATTTCCCTCAGGAAGTGGTAGAGACCGTAAGCTGAGCTAAAATAAGAGCGAATGTTAGACTTACCTTCACCAGATGTGCATCAACATTATATGCCATATTAACTTATGGTGATAGCGTTGTCTTTACACCTTTTTTCCTCTGTCCCTAAGCAAGCAGAAAATCAGTGGCCAGAAAAGTTTAAGAAGTGAAAGTCCAACATTTCATTTTTAATGAGGACATTTTGACATTTTTATGCTGTTCTCACATAGAACAGATTTACATACAGTAGTTTGTAATGTTTTATGGTGACTCAGCAGAAATGTAAGGAGACCAGTGGTTTAACTGAGCGGACAACAGGCATTAACACAGCATGACACAGCTACAGTTTTACACATATTGGTATAGACACACCTAGGACCCTTTATGAGCCAAATGTCCCTCATTGTACCGAGCACATAAAAGACTGATGTTCCAGTGTACTTAGGAACAAATGGGTACTCTCTCTCCCTCTTCATCCTGGATTTAATATGCTCCTGAGCTGCATGACCGTTTCCCTATAATTGGGCCTCATGGTGCTAGTGTAGCTAGCCTAGCCTCTGCCCCCTGCCTAACCCACTGAAAGTGACTGATGGCCGAGGGACCAAGACGCATCGGTGCAGAAACAGAAGCTAACACTCCGTGAGAGTGGAGAGTTGTGGAGGAGCAGGCTGTAGATTCAGTGCAGCTGCTCCACTGGATACAAATGTCTTCAGAGAGGGGCACATGAACCCTGAGGTTTTCACTCTCACTACAGGACCACACTATTGGGCACATCATCCATTTCAATAAACCTGTTTTCGATTTTCCGCCAAGGTTGTAGATTGGCTGAGGCTTTAAAGAGAACTATGGGAGATTGATGCTGTCTAAAAGTAGGCTTGCCTTGTGGTGCATTCGGCAGTAGGTTGTAGTGCTGCTCTGATATTTGCTTTAACGCTGTAGATGATTGCTGTGATGATTGCTGTGATGATTGTTTTTGTTTTGGTTTGGTGTTTGGCTGTGCAGTGTCATGCAGGCTCTTTAGCATACTGGATGTGTACATTTGTGTGGTTTTCACATTACTGATTGTGCGTATCTGTGTTCCAGACAATGCCACCCCATGGGATGCTCGCCCTTCAGCCTCCCCAAGCCTGTCAGAAGTAGCCCCTCCCATCGACAGCCTTTCCATGTCATTGCCTTCATCTCATCTGGCCCCAGCCCCCGACCCACCTCACCTGGCACCGCTGGAAGTCCCTCGAGACCCGGTGGCACGGGACAGCAGGACAGAACGTTCAAAGAGCCCCCAGAAGGCCGAGCAGCTAAACCCAGATCTGATCAGCCAGGGGAGGAGAGCGGTTACAACCGGGGGTAGCGGCAGAGCTAAGAAAGAGAGTGGCAGGTCCACCCACAAGGGGCACAGGTTGCAACCCACTACTGAGGGAGAAGGGGGCAAAGAGGGGCACGGTGTGGAACCCAAACCTCCCAGGAGCACCAGAGGGAGGTCCAAGGAGAGAAATACTGGAGACAACAGAGAACCCAACCACTCTCCCAGCAGCTCTAAGCTCCTGCACACTAACGGGAACAGCAGGGAAGAAGTGGAGCGTTACAACAGCGGACAGCAGCAGCAGGTGGATCTGAAGCAGAGTAAGCCCAGGCCCAGGGAGCTGGACCGGAGCCTGGGAGAGAGCCAACCCAGCCTGCCCAACAAGAGCACCAGCACTGGTGGCACAGCAGGGAGGAAGCCCACGGTCTCTCCTGGGCCTTGGAAGATCCCTAGATCAGACAAGCTGCCCAGCACACTGCGCACAGGCACGTCCACGCTGAGCAGATAACACTGCAGCTCCAGCAGAATGCAGTGGCCACACTCATTTGAACTGAACTCCACCCCATCTGGACAAAACTACCATCTTCCTGTGCTCCCGTATCCCCCGTCAATCCCATTCTCCCACGGACCACAGAGTCAAAACCAAGGGTGGCAGGGTGATCTGGACCACATGTTTTTAGAGTTTTATTTATGAAACTGCACTCTAAATTATTTTGAGATCTATTTGACACCCACCACCTTAAGAACTGGAAAATCATCCATATTTTGAACAAGTCGATGAGCAAGTAGAATGTGTCTGTAGCGTTGGGGGGACTCATTTTGAGATGTACAATCTTTGCAAAACTGGGGGACAATCGGTTGCCCTTGGATTTTTTTTTTTATATATCCACACAATGGAGTCTATTTTATGAAACAAAATGTTAAGAAGAAGGTTTGCCTGTTTCTGAGGGGAGCGAATGCAACAAAGACTCACCGCAGAGATAAAATCAGCAGAACTTTGCCTTAACAGAGACTGTATGGGCCTGAATCTGCCTTGAATAATCTATCAGATGATTATAGACATAGATATATTATAATGAATATGAATATGTGGGATCAATTTGTAAATAAGATCATCTTTAAGTGAACCAACCCTTATAGCTGAGCTGATGGAAATTCTAATTTGTGATTAGATGGAGCAAAACGGCACGGCATGGACCAGACCTTTCAGCACACAGACTTCTCCCTCACGTACACTCCAGTTCAGCCCTGTGATTGCAGACTGGGGTCTCGAAAGGCCTGCTGCAATTGACTACACGGTGTATTTGTGCTCATATCATCCTGACTTCAGCAGGGGTGTCGTATCAGTCAATTTCTTTCATTTCTGTGCTTAACAAACAAAGCAATCTGTGACAGTGGTGTCCAGCCCGACGCTGAGAGAACGAGCTCACATGATAGAGACCAAGGGGGCAGAGTGCCTTAGATTGATGGAGAGGTTGGCTTTTAAGTCAAAGGTTCCAATCCAGAACACGTTTGAGGGTTCAAAACTGGCTGCTATACAACACCAACTTTACAGATATAAATATTAAACTGTATTTTTTCAGACACGAGGCTGATGTTGTGATAAGCTTATGTATGAAAATTATTTCATTACCAGAGGTATTGATGGTCCTTGTTTGTACAAGTGGTTAACCCTGGGTGGTGATACTTTCCATGACTGAGTTTTAATGAGGTCTATCGCTTGTAAGATCCATGAATAATCACTTATAGTGTAATCAAAATGTCAACATAGGGTGGAACTCTGCACCCAAACCAAACCAATTAGTAAAATCTGATATTCATTCATTAAAAAGACAATCTCACTTGTGAAAAGTTCACTCATTTAACAGTCTTTTACCTAAACATGCACTCCTGTCATTTCCAGAGCAGCTGAGAAGAGGTTGCACCTGTCACAGCTACTGTCAGCTGCTCAACTTGATATGTTTTAGGTATTTTGTCTACATTGTGTGATGCTAATCTTCATGGCAAAGCTCCCTGCAGGTCAGAATACATGTCCCTGTCCCAGAATTTATCTCAAAAGCTTGAACATTTTTATACTATAACCTGGCAATTGACTGTTCACTAAGCCCTGCTAGTTAATATTGCTGCACCTGTCAAGCTTTCCATTCTTGATCTGACAGTTTGGGCTAAAATAACAACTGTTAGCAAATCAAACTCCACAAATTGGGTGAAAATGCCAGCTAAACATTCTTCTAGTAATCATGTAAAAGGTGTCTTAAATATGCACTTGTGGCTACATATCATGTTAAAAATCTAAACAGAACTTATAAAAGATATAAAGAAACTGCACTCTTATTGAATTGGTAGTGTAGAGAAAGTTTTTAAGAATACTGATAAAAATGTCAGATCTCACTGTTATTTTGTCTAATATAACCATTTTTGACTGCTTATTAAGTCTTCAGAATTCTTTGTAATTTAGCAGCATGGTTCACTTTTAACTTGTCAAGAGAAAAGGCCTTGAGAACACTAACGTTAGCCGTCATAAGACTGCTGTATGTTGAGTGTCAAATCTAGAACTACTAACTTTACCCTGTTAAATTTACGTAGCTGCATATGCTAACAACTGCAGCTCACATTAGAGCAGATAAGCTCACTTTAAGCTTTTCAAGCTCTTAATATTGAGCATTAATGTTACATCAGCCTCATGTACAGCACTTTGACATATTGAGAAATCTGAAGCTTGACAACCTGCTATGCCTAGCTATGATCGCTAAGCTGGCACTGAATCACAGTTCAGAGGAAAGGGCTTTAGAGAACAGTCAGTTTTGGGATATACAGTACAAATGTTTTCCTGGCATTGAAATTCCTGAGTGTTTTGTTTTCCATCCAAATGAGCCAACATTTAACATTAAAAGAATCATAATACCAGAACAAACTTTTCCTCTTCCTCCTCTGCTGAGAAAAGTACAAATGGTGTTTAAAAAAAGAGCAGAGCGGGATAAGCCATTATGTTTGCCATTGTAATTTGTAATTACACAAGGAAAAAAGCGGACTTTAAAGCACAATCTCACATAAAAGGATTGAAACATGAATTGTTATGTCAGAGAAAATCGTCAGCCATGCACAGACATCTCAGTCCTTGATGGTGTGCAGGGCTAATGTCACAACCCTACATTTTACATTTGGCTGACTAAAGGTAGCGAACGCTGCCTTAAACAGCATCATCATCACTTTTATTTTGACTTTTGCTCAAAGGAGAAACAAATCATTTTTGCTCAGCCTTTGCACAACTTACTGATTTCACCATCTGAGCTGTCTCCATTGAGCCAAATTGTAAGCAGTTCTTTATGGAAAAAACCCACCTAGAGGTGCATTTGCAAACCGAGTGTTGAAAAAGTGTTGACAAATGCAGCAACGAAAACTCTAGTACCGAAGCAGCTCAGTATCACTGTGTAGTGTTAGCAGTGTGTAGACCCTGAACAAATATCTCCATAAAAATGACTCAGTGTACTATTGATGGTCACAAAGACTTAAGTGCAGCAACTATTTTTATGAAACACAACACTATGAATATATTAACTTTTGCAAAAATCTTGTTTACCTGTATGATATTCTGAAACTGTCAAAATAAAAGTGTTCACACAACTGAAAGATTTATTTAGGATGTTCTGCTGCGTCTTTTACTTTTTCATTAAATCATACAGTATGCATAATGAGTGGGGAATCATTTGTTTTAACAGTATGGCTTTACAAGCAGCATATAAACACAATATATGATTTATACACTATAATAAAGGACATATACAAACATATTAAGGTGTTTATTAATATACATATTAAGGTCTATAACTCCTTTGAAAGTTGTTTATGAGATGGTAATGAAGCGACAGACGAGTTGGGTGTTGACCTTCTCATCTAACTCATCTCATCTCAATGTAGAACTGTTCCTTTAATTGTTGACACTCACACACCTGAACAAATCCTTACAATGCATTTTAAACATTTGTTAGTAGTATAAACATGCTGAAAATTCATGAGGACATGTTGAGCTACAATGTTAATTCTTAACCTTGGGCAGTTTGACAAAAAAAATAATAATTTGATACTCAAGGTCCACTTGCTAAATTCCTCCCTGAACTTTCAGTTTCATCTTATGACTTTCATCGGTGGATGGAATAAATCAATAAATATATGTCTGTTTATAAAAACTACAACTCTGTTATCATATTGTCAGTGTTTAAACACAACCTAGGGAGGAAGAGAACCACGTGTATTCATCCTTAAATGTTTGCAGTGTTGTAATGTTTTCATTTGACCACATGGAGGCGTCTGGCGAGTGACGTGTATTCCTGCAGATGATACTATCTATAGAAGGCTTTGGCCCTTATAATCTTAATTTTTCTATTGAATACTGGCCTTAGATGTACAGATTATAACCGCTGATAGTTTCCAGAAAACCTTTGAGCGAGCAAACAGCCTGCTGGCGTTTACTTGGAGCACATCCTTCACATGTCCACTAGAGGTCAGTGTAGACCAGGCATAGATTTTTTTGCTGCTTGATTACATAATTGTTCAACTTACATAAAATTATTAGTCAGATATTTCCGCTTATATGGATTGTACAACCCTGTGTGATCTTCTGATTTAATAAACTACAGAATATCGCAGCAGATTTTTAGAATTATGTATCTCTACTCTGTCTCATGTCAAACATTTTCAAGATCTTTAATCGATGCAGCAGCTTTCAGGTATTCAAATTCAGTAGTAGTACACACACTTCCTCCACTTCAAGTTGTGGTTTTCACACATACATCCTGTTAATATACACATGAAAATGTGTGAAATAAACATTGCAATTAGAATTTTAATTTATTTTAAAATGGATTTGACATTTTACCACATATTACATTTGATGTAACATCCTAGGTGTGACTGCATGTCAAATTTTTATTTTTTTTTTTTGCATTTTTTGGCATCATACAGACAGGAAAGAAGTATAGAAGAACCACAGGGTGAGAGATGGAGCACTGCAGGAGCAAGACAACAAGCTCCCCTAAGAGGCAGCGCTGCCTGGGGCTGCCTGCTGCCAGCTGGAAGCTGCTGGCTGGTGCCTGTATTCTCCACAGGAGAGAATCAATCCGGAGCTGTACTCATCTCACCACTGGGGCCACGACAGGCTTAGGCCTTAACAGATTGAGTTGAAACGCCATCCTTGACATGTTTATAAAAGGGCAAGCAAATGAAATCGCTTGAATTTTATAAATTGTTTATGTTAAATCATTAGTAATACTTTGGGTGATTACAGCATTCATTACATTCATGAACCTAGTGTTAAACAGTAAATGCCTGAGTTGAAACTGTTCTTCTAAGCTGCACAGATGACTGTTTTCCAGTATGGCTCACATTGCTGGATCTCAGTTGCATCTGACAGCACCACACACTGTCCCGAAGTGCCTCCCAAACGCACACACAAATGTAACTGACAGTAGGTATGACTCAGATTTTCACAGCCATGTTTGATGGATTGCTCAACCTCCTCCGCCAACGTCTCTGGTGTTCTCCTTTGCTGTGTTGCTTCATCCCGTAGCATCTCATCAACACTTAAGGTATTTCCAATAAAATAACTGCAGTGTAGGGACAACATAAAATGCAGTGAGATAATCCCTCAAGACAATCTGAATTGTTCAAATGTAATCTATAACAGCATCTCCAGTGATCAAGGGTTTCCGTATTTTGGTCTGAGATTGTCTCACTTTAGCCTGGAGCAGCTTAACTGATGCATTTACTGTGTATGAAATGAGCCAGGAATTGTTTTACTGTACATTTTTCTTTATATCGCTCCTTTTCACTGCTTCCTGTGGGAAACCAGAGAAGTTGTGCCGATTGATGAAACAGGAAAGGTCTGCTCCCTTGTCACTTGTTAGCCAGATTGTCTGAGAGTTGCAGGAAAAATAATCAACTCATTTGGGAACAACACAGGCTTTTGGAGTCCTGAGTATGTAGTTTCACACTCAGTAATCCTGAACACAACAGGGGGCAGCACGGTGGCACAGTGGTTAGCGCTGTTGCCTCACAGCGAGAAGGTTCCGGGTTTGGGCCCCACCTGGGGCCAGTCCAAAGACATGCAGCTTAGGTTGATTGGTGTCTCTAAATTACCCATAGGAGTGTGTGTGGTTGTTCGTCTATGTGTTAGCCCTGCGATGGATTGGCGACCTGTCCAGGGTGTACCCCGCCTTCGCCCGATTGCTGGCCGGGATTGGCTTCGGCCCCACCCGTGACCCCGTTCAGGGACTAAGCGGTAGAAAATGAATGAATGAATGAACACAACAGCATTCTGTCTAAAATTACTGTAAACTGAGCCGTGTTTTGACCATGGCTTTCGATGAATTATGGGCGTGTGGTTGAATTGCCAACCAGTATGTCATGCAACAAGAATTACTTGCTGAACATGCTGAGGGGTGTCTTATTCCTGTGTGACAACTTGTCCTGTGACAGCACACTAGCATCTGAGGTGGAGCCTACTCTTGCTTTCAGGCACTTTTTTAAGTTGCATTACTTTCATTTGTGAGGCCCTTTATAAGCTACTACTGAATACATTTCCCAGACTACTAAACCTGTTCTGCCATGTGCACTGTTTTGTCATTGTGCTCATATACTTTCACAGCTAAGTGGAGATATAGTTTGTTGATATTATACAGTAAATAATTTGCAGCAAAAACTGTAAAATGTGGAAGAATGGCACCAAGTGGAGTTTTGAGCATTCTTGAGGCAACAGGTTAGATGTAATAACCAATATGCTGTTAGCCTACCTGTTGTCTGGTCCTTGATAAATGTGATTACACTGTTCATGAATAACCAGGGAAGCAAATGATCTGCCTTGTCTGCTTTTGCGTGGGTGTTAGTGTGAGGGCCTGTCTGGACATGAGGTTTAAGCTGCAGAATGAGGAGATACTGTTCTGGTTCTTCTTTCTTTTGTCTCATTGTATGATTGTTTTCTTTTCACGTTTTCGAAATAACATTTCAAAAACATGTCAAACTTGATTATGTCTACATCTCTGCTGTCCAGTAAATAAATGGTCCATCTTTGGAGTATTTCAGGTCACAATATGTTCTGAGTACTGACTGAGCTATTTAAACTTAAGAATGATTAATGTTTTAATTTTGGTGTCAGGCATATGCCGAATTTAATATATTCATCATATAACAAAAAGTCCTATGTTCCAGTTTTCTAGAAACGCCATCCACGACAGAACTGCCTGGATTAAGGGGCAGGCCTACGGCGGGGTGACGCCCTGCGCTCTCGGTAGCTCCGAGCTGTACGGGGATCTGTCTCTCCGCTGTGGACCGTAGAAAGACAGTCGGTACCATCGTACCGGGCTTTTTGACGGTGGAAGTAGGCTATCCCAGCAGCCAGAGCTCAGGGGCGGCCGGTGGGAGGAGGCAGAGAGTCTGCAGTTGCTGTAACGCACAGTCTCTTTGACAGCCGCAAGAAGAAGGAGCCAACCGCGCCAACCAATGTCTACGGTAGGAAGCATCTGATTATTTTCTTCATAAAACGGCGTATGTTTTGTGTATTGGAATGTGAATATGTATTTCGGGAAGCAGCGATGTGTCATGGCACGCCGCTGCCGGAGCATCTTTCATTGGCTTTTTCGCGGAAGTGAGCATCAACATCCCGGAGCTGAAAAGATCTCCGAGCACACCCAGCTGATTAAAAAAAAAGTGTAGTAATTTTTGCTCTTTATAAATGGACGTTTATTTCAGTCTAAATATGGGAGTTGGGGAAGAAGGGGGCACGCGGCTAGCTGGAAGCCGACTCCGCATCCGACGGCAGGGCGGCGCGCGGCGGGGCAGCCCCAGCCGCAGTCCGCGTGGGACAGCTGCGGCGGCGACTACGTGGGAAGTCTGGACTGGGCAAAAGCATAAATGTAGAGTGAGCTAGCAGCTTTACGTTTAACCACCTGTCGAATGCCATCATCTTAATAGTTTCCAATGAGTGTCAGTATTGCAGAAGCCATATCGGATATTTAATGTGTTCATCCCGTGGTCAGTAACGGGAAAACTCTACATAATAGGTTATTAAAAATAAAAAAAAGGTGTAAACCCAAGCTGCGCAGAGTTTGGCCCCTGAGTGGTTTCACATCATGAACATAATTGTCGATGCCGTCAGTCATTATCAAACAGCTTGTTAGTTTCTCAGTTTTCTTTCAGAAGCTCGTAGCCTAATAGATTTAAACCTGTTTCTGTGTGTTAGACCTCAGTTAGCTGATTACTTGTGAAGCCTAGTGGACAGTTCATCTTAAATAAGGTACTTCTCAAGCTAAATGTCTCTTCCAGCTTCTCAAATGTGAAGATTTGCAGTTTTACAATGTTGATAAATGGATATCTTTGGTGTTTTGGACTGATGCTTCGTCATCTTGGCCTGTGGAGAACTCTGATGGACATTTTAACGACATTTTCTGGCCTTTTTGGAGCAGACGGTTTGACAAACTCGGTGACAGTCGTTCGTACCTTTTTTTTTTCTTTGACTTTATTTAGAAAAGTTGTACCGGAAGTAATATAACAAACCTCTTTCTTGACGCAGTTGAATAGCACAGATTTGTGGAAATGTTCGTTTGGTTACATTGTTTTCCAGCTGTGACGGTGGTAAATAACTGTGCCCGTGAATAAAGAAGATATTGTGTTACAAAACGGAAAACCACCGTCGACCGTCCTGTCGCGGTTCGCCATGTGGAGGCGAAGCTGCTTGAGTCAGGTGAGGCGGGCTGCTCATCGCCCTGATGACAGAAAGCCCAGCCGACTCTTCTGGTCGTCAATGTGCAACTGGACAACAGCTCGGAACAGCATTCGGTGCCATTTTCCCGTTCAGGGAGATCCGCTTCGGTCCCAGACTACAAGCTTAATAGGAAGTTCCTCACAGAAGACACAGCTGAGGTTTGTAATGTTGGACAGGAACTCGGGAGAGAGTGCTGTTCTCCTGAGAGCAGTCGGCTCTGTGTCCGCACCACATCCATCACAAGCCATGAGACAAGGTCCCTGGGCAAGGACATGCAGAAGATGAGCAACTACGTCATTTTTGCTTCTTTCTTTTAACCATTTGGGTCCATTTTATATTGGTTTTGTATTTGTTTATACTTGTTTGAGGACTATTGTAGTTGTTTTGTTGGCCTTTTACTGCCCTTGGGCTTTTAGTCATTTTGTCTCTCTCCAGTGGTTTTGTATCCCTCTAACAGTTTTCCTCTCTTATGACCTATTATTTTTTATTTTATTTTATTTATTTTACCTTTTGGAATTTCATGATTTTTCCAGTGGAACTCCTTTCAGCCCCTGTGCCCTGTGTTTGCCCTGCTCAGTAACGTACCCATGGTTGTTGCATTTGTTATCACACACACGGTGTCTCCCATGATGGGCTTGACTTCACTCAGCCCTGGACGAGCTGTCTACCACATGCTTCTTCACTCATCCTAAGCTGCTGTTGCTCTACATACACAGTGGCAAGAAAAAGTATGTGAACCTTTTGGAATTTCATGATTTTCTGCATTAATTTGCCATAAATTGTGATCCAATCCTCATCTAAGTCAAGTATTGACAAATATAATGTGCCTAATATAACAACACAAAAAATCTGATCTTTCATGTCTTATTGAGAACCATAAAAACCTCTTAGTGCTAGTGGAAAAAGTATGTGAACCCTTGAGTTAATGACCTCAAAACAGCTAATTAGAGTCAGGTGTTAAGAAAATGGGTTTGGAGGTGTGGACTAGAGCTACTCCGACTGATAAAACCACTCAAACTTTTTGAGTTTACTCTACACAACAAGAATATCCTTATGTGAGTCATGCCTCACCAAAAAAAAGCTTTCAGAAGATCTACAATCAAGAATAGTTGATTTACATAAAGCTGGAAAGGGTTATAAAGTGGTTTCAAAGACTTTATAAATTCACCAGTCTACAGTTAGACAATCAATCTACAAATGGAGACACTTTGGGACAGTGGCTAATTCCCCAAGAAGTGGGCGTCCAGTCAAAATGACCCCAAGAGCACAACGAAGATTCATCACTGAGGTAAAGAAACAACCTCGAGTGACAGCCAAAGATGTGAAGGCATCATTGGAACTGGATAACATCTATGTTCATGAGTC